GAGCCCAGGAGTTTGAGGTCGCCGTGAGCTAGGATGACGCCACGGCACTCACTCTAACCCGGGCAACAAAGCGAGACTCTGTCTCAAAAAAAAAAGAAAAAAAAGCGGGGAGAGACAAATATCAACTTTTCCTTCTAGTCTGGAGAAGGAAAAATATGCGGGGAGAGAAATCATATAAATAAATGTGATGATAAAAATTGAAATTCAAATAAGTGAATTCAGGTTTATGAGTATTTTAATTTAATTCCACTCTGGAAAGAGCTTTAGGGTGATGTTAAGAGACCTTCTAGACTGGCCAGTTTGGGGCCTTGGATGGCCTTATAGAGTCTGAGTTTACCCTTCAGTAAAATGGACATATGGCACCCTCCCTCCTTCTTACAAAATAAGTTATTTAAGATTAGTGAAAGGGCTCTGAGTTTTGGACGAATCCAAATGCTTTCATTCCCTGGATATAATCTATACTGCATTTCAGTGAGAATGGTTCACTTTCCCACTGTATAATGAATTACTCTAGCTAAAGGCAATGTTTCTGTGCATACCGGCTCACTCAATGCAGAGGAATTTTATTACAAGAAACACCCAAATGCTGCCTCATTGCCCTTGATGGCTCATATATGTCAGCTGGCCAGGGTTCCACACCCTCTTTCTCTTGCCCACTGCATGTTGCTGCCTGTGCAGCTCCAAGCCCTAGCTATGGGGCAGAGTACCAGAGAAGGGGAAATGAGCTTCCTCTCTGCTATAATCGGGTAGTATGTCAAGGAGTGAAGTTCAGGCTCAAAGATAGGCCACCTGCTAGTCACAGGGCTGGGCCTGACCACATCAATTCCAACCTAAGGCTGAGCTTGCCTTGTGGAGGCTGCTCGGAAGCAGTTTCTTATCTGGTTTATCTGCCTTCCAGTGTAAGTCTGAGTAGCAGGGAAGTTCTGGACTCTACTGTCCCTGGAAACTTGTGCCCCCAATGAGCAGGAAGAGTGGGGTGGTGAGTGTTGAGATTTGGAAAATCTAACACATCCATAACAACAATATGACATATTGAGCATTCAATGGACCAAGTCTTTTAAACATTAATACATTAGCTCACATCATCTTCAAAGCAAGTTTAGGAACTAGAGTTATCGTCCTCACGTTATAAATGAGGCAATCATAGGAAGAAATGCCAAGTTGATGGACCAAGGTCCCACAGGCAGTAAACTGTGAAGCCCTGAATCAGATCAAAGACTACTTGACTGCAAAGCCCTTGCTCCCAGCAGCATGCTGTGGCTTAATTAAATCAACAAACCATTTTGCACAGAGAAACCATGCAGTCTAAAAAGTTGTTAGTCCTGGAATATCTCTAATGCTGGCACAACTTTGAGAGGGGCCCCTCAAGGCAGGGAGATACATGCCAAGTATGTGTAGAGCTCAAGGAAGCCACGCTCTGGTGCTGACTGGCGTGGGGGAGAATTGGGGAGGCTCCCTCGGAGCTTGCCTAGTTCCCCAATATCGCCCCTTTTGGCGACATCAACTTCCGCCTTGATCTGGCTGCACTGCATAATGATCCAAACTGCTGAGCGCTGGCAAATCCAAATGGCTCAAGGGTTACTGTGGCAGAAAGATCCCGAAAGGCTTCTCTGGCCCTCTTTAGGGGTGGCGCAGCTTGCATGGCAACTTAAGCCAGCTTGTGCAGCGCGAGTGAGTTTCTGGGTCCACACAGCTGCACGGGGCAGGATGAAACCAGGATGCAGGAGGGGCCTGGCACAGACAGTCTTTGCATGTCAGTTGCTTGACGTGGAGAAAGCACTTCACCATAGAAGGGATGTAAACGACAACTCATTTCTCAGGCTCGCTCACGACCCCATTGAAACCATCACGCTGACATCCTTCTGACTGGAAGTCAGTGACATAGAGCACCTTGTAAAGTAATACGGAAACCTTACATCAGTAATACCGGGAGCGAGCTGGGGAAGGTGAGAGAGTCCGGACGGGCTCAGGGGTGGGGGTGAGAGTGTGGGGCCAAATCCCTGCAGGGAGACTCTGAGGCTTGGGGTGAAAGGCAGGAAAAGGGCTTCGAGAGGATGTGGAGGGAAAGGGCCGAGGAACAAACAGGGTCCCCTGTCACTTCACAGCCTTGTGAGTGACATTCCAGCCGCCTCTTTATTTTCTTTTTTTTTTTTTCACCTCTTTATTTTCTTTGGGCATCAGAGATAAGCCCCCAGCTGCTTCTCCCTCCCCCACCTCTTGTTCCAACGGGCATAGCCCTTCCGCTGCGGCCCGCGGGGAAACTGGGCTCCCGGCCTCTCGTGCGTCCTCCCAGGCATGAAGCAGTCACGCGGCCCTTTCCAGTTTTCCCAAGGTCCCTTCCTGCCAGTGAAGAAGGAAACCAGTAGGGTAGAGGGCTTCCTTCTAAATCCTCTCCACTTACCCTCCATCCTCATCCTCTTACTTCTCCACTTAAACCCTGTGGGAAGAAGGAAGGGCCTCAGGACCCGGGGAGTGCTGGGATGCACACAGGACTCATCACACAGCAGAATAAACCAAGGCTGAGGCTCCCCCAGGGCTAGGGCAGGGCTCTGGGTGGAGAGGAGATGGGATGAGGGCTGCCTCCTCCCCCATGATATCTGCACTGGGGCTGGGGGCAGAGGGGCAGCATAGCAGGGGGGAGAAAAACTACTGGGGAGGAGGTCTGGTCTCCTGCTTGACTTCTCTGGGCATTTACTGCTCACCTCCAAGGCACTCCTGCCAAAACCACTCTCGGCTAACCCTAGGGCCAAATGAAAAGGGGACGGGGTGAACCTTTAGGCAGGGTCCTGAGGGAGTGACCATTCCTGAAGGCCATTTGCACATGAAGGATGTAGAGCAAATAAATTTACATATGTGTATACACAGAAACGCATGAGCATGACAGTACTATTTATATACTGCTTGTTGCTATTATAGTAAAACTATGGATTATTATTAAGTTTAACTGATATATATATGCTTATGTTCTGTACCTTATGTAATAAAAAGGACTTTAGAAACTAAAAGCTGAATTCTGAATTTATAACAATGTTTTAAAAAGACAAAATACTTAATATTATCATGTTTTGTGTTTTTCCCCCATTTTTCCCTCTACAGATTGGTCTACAAATGGTTTCTTCTAATCTACAAACTCAGCTACGCATTTGGTGTTGTGGGTTATTTGGCTATCATGTTTACAATGTGTGGATTCAACTTATTTTTCAAGTAAGTATCTCCAGTTAAGACATTAATATCTCTAAGTATTTGCTTGGAACATTCAGCTGTTCATGTTCTCTCTGTCTGGAAGCATTCGGCCCTATACTTTTCCATGCATACATTTTTATAGTAAATATCCACACAGTCTTGTCACTGGGGAAAACCAATAGAAAAGGAAGAAAGGAGCACCCTACAAAATAATTTTCCTTTTTTTTGAGACAGGGTCTCCCTCTGCTGCCCCGGTTGGAGCAGCAGTCATAGCTCACTGCAACCTTGAACTTCAAGGTTGGGCTCAGGGGAATCCTCCTGCCCCAGCCTCCCAAGTAGCTAGGACTATAGGCACGGGCCACCATACCCAGCTAATTTTTTAATTTTTTGTAGAGATGGGCTCTTACTATGTTGCCCAACCTGTCTCAAACTCCTGGCCTCAAGCAATCCTGCTGCCCTGACCTCCCAAAGTGCTAGGATTACAGGCGTGAGCCCCCATGCCCAGCCCAAAATACTTTTTTTTAAAAATTAGGAGCTTTAAAGAGAATCTATACTTGATCTACAAATTTAAAAGATCACCATTGAAAGTGGGCCTACAATTGTGATAGAGTAATTCTTACTGAACTGCAAATTTCCCTTATACAAAATTCTGAAGTGTCCATATCTTCTATTTATCTTTTTGCTTAAAACTTCTAGAACTGTGCTGGCCGCTACAGTAGCCACTAGCTCATGTGACTATCAAGCACTTAAAATATGAAATAAGATATGCTATAAGTGTAAAATATACACTGGATTTCAAAGGCTTATATGAAAAAATGATTTTTATATTGATTACCTGTTGAAATTATAGTATTTTAAATGTATAAGTAAAATTAATTTCGCCTGCTTCTTTTTACTTTTCATATGTGGCTGCCAGTATATTTTAAATTATATTTGTGGCTGTATTTCCACTGAACGGCACTGCTCTCTAGAATTTTGTTTCAGATATCCATGAAACCCCTTGTGCTGGGGAGAGTTGGAAAAGGAGGAAACAGGGTACTTAAAAACTGAAAGACAAGTAAAGGGATAAAAGAGCAAGAAAGTCCTGGAAGAGATAAAGGAAATCGGGTTCATCACGTGTGGGACTCAGAACTGTGCTCCCATTAAGAAGGTGTTTGCTGAGACGTGCTGTGGACCCGGTGCTCGCTGGCAGAGCGCAGGCTGAGTAACCAGCCTGTGCTCTGGAAAGGAGATTTAAGACGTACCACACAGCTATGAAACGCAGCTCAAATAAAAATTCCCCAGAATATCTCTCACCTCGAAGTTACTCTAAATCTCTGGGAAACAGAAATTAAAAAGCAGAGTTCAGCAACCCTTTACTCATAAAATAAGGAAGGTAATTGCATGGAGAGACAGCCCTGCGGAACGGGCTCTTCCCATGGCAACACAGCAATCAGATTTTATAAGCATTTCATGAAACGTTCGAAGAGGGAGCGCCTAACATTTTCTAGCAGGAAAGGGGTAGAAAGTAATTGTACAGATCTATTATTGCCAGGTTAAAATATAGAAAGATGCTGAGCATGTCTCTTTTTTTAAGCATACTGTCTATATTGCTTTATTTTAGTGAACATAAAAATATTCATAAGGATTTTTATGAAATCACTGGAGACTATAGCTGTCCCAAGACTATAATCTCATAGGATTTTAAGGTCCTTATCCATGAATTCTCCTACAATGAGGCATACCATGAACTTAACCCTTTAGATTAAGAAGGAACTATTTTTTCACTACTCATTGCTGTTGGTTATCACTGTATTAAGATTCTTTTCTAGGGACTCAAAAGTTTGTTACTGTATTTCTTGTCAATAAAATTATAAACACATACTGCCCTGGATATGGAGAGAAGACAAGCTTCATTTCCCCACTATCCTAACCCTCAAATATACCCAGTAATGCTGAAAGGATGAAGCTACCACCTGTGTTGAGATTCCCAGTTCACATCACCAAAAGATCTATGCTCTCTAAATCTACAAAGCTTTCTGCCTTTACCATTTCCTCCTCAAATTAACAGAGCACAGAAACTACCAGAAGAAGGTTCCAGAGACAGACTACCCAACCCTTCTCCACACTTTACTCCCTTCCCTGAATCAATCAGACCCACCCAGCTTCACCACTGGTAGATTATTATAGAGAAATAGCAAACTAAATGTGCAATGATTAAGATTCATAAATTAAATTTGGGGTGAATTATTCACTTTATAAAGAGATTTTTCCCTTAAGCAGAAAAGGGGGTTGGTTATCACAGAGAATCCTAGTGTATTTGAAATATGATTCAACTTGCAAAAAAATTTCTTCATTTACTCCATGGCAACTAAGTCATAGTACCAAAGGACTCCAAAATATGAGCTTGGTTCATGGCTTTGTTCATATCAATTGTCAAGTTAAGCAAGTAATTTTTTCTAAGTCTCCATGTTTTCACATGCAAAGTGGGGATAATAATATCTATCTCAAACATTTGTTAGGAAAGATAATTAGAAAGCTTTCTATAATATCTAAGCTCTGTAGCAGAAATTCTCAATCTTTGCTGTATTATAGAATCAATCACTTGACAAGCTCTTAAAAAAATACTGCCAGCTAGACCCCACCCCAGACCCATTAAACTAGAGTCGTTGGTGGTGGGCCCATGCATTGATAATGCTGTAAAATCTCCCCAGGTGATTCTAATCTATGTTTAGGGCTGAGAACCATTGCTCTAGTGGTTCCTAATGTTAGCTGCCCATTGGAATCACCTGGGGTCTGGAGAGCTGCACGTAATCAGCCTGTGGCGTGGCCTGAAGATGGAGATTTTTTACCAGCGGCTGAGGTCTTTCTATATGCCAGCAGTCCCCAACCTTTTTGGCACCAGGGACCGTTTTGATGGAAGACAATTTTTCCACAGACTGGAGATGGGGGAATGGTTTCAGGATGATTCAAGCACTTTACATTTATTGTCCACTTTATTTCTATTATTATTACATTGTAATATATAAGGAAATAATTATAAACTCACTATAGGTTGGGGACACCTGCTATATGCAGTCTAGCTTGACACCAAGGGTGAGAGTCAGCTTGTGTAAATCCTGCTGTCCTAAGAAGCATTTGAAGACTATCTTAAGAATTCCTTTGTCCACTTGGCACTGAGTGGTACAATTTGAAGGAAATTTAGAAAACTTTTCATTCTTTCATTTAAGAAAAGAAAAACTAAACATATAAATGAAAAAAATATATACCCACAAATTTCTCTTAGATACTATAACAGGAAATATTGTCCAAGCTCCAACCCTCCCCTGCCCCACAAATGCTACATTCTTATTTCCTTATACTGTTGTTTTCAATAGAATCAAAACTAGAGATTCCATGGATTTTGGCATCGTATCCTTGTTCTATGGCCTCTACTATGGAGTAATGGGGAGAGACTTTGCCGAGATCTGCTCAGATTACATGGCTTCTACTATAGGGGTAAGTGTTGCTTTCATTCTTTAAAACCATTTATGACGCATGGAAAAATGTTCTCATTTTACATATTTGCATCTATTTTCAGACATAGATAAGTCTTTGGCCATATACTGATTAGCATTTCCTGTGGTACTATGTTGGTTTGCCCAGCCCAATTGCTCCCTTGCATGAAATTTGTCTTTGTTAATTATTTAGAAAATACATTTCTTATTTATAAAGAATAGTTGGGGAATAAGGCATATTTAAAATAAAAATATGCTAATTATTTGGGTTATCCTAAATACTCCAATTGCCAACATTTAAGGATAAATAAAAGATCAGCAATAACTAAAACCCTTTATCTCTGCCTAAAACTCTGCCTAATGCAAATAAAAATCATATCTGATGCTACATAGAACACTTCAGAATCAACAGTACCTCAGGGTAATACTTATCATAAAGACCAGTTATCACTATATAACTTCTGAAGAAGTAGAAGATACACTGACTGTGCACTGTTGCCTGTAATTTTTTTAAATCCCCAATTGTTGTTTTTTTCTTAATTCTCTTAAAATTAAAATTCAGAATGGACATACTTTCTGGTCAGGTGGATTCCTAGTTCTGATATTAGGATCATTTCTCTCTGTCCAACACATGCACATCTCTTAAAAACTCTTAAAAATTCCAGGGATGACCCACTAGTTTCAGGAATTTTGGATCTCTGTCCTCTACCTGTCTCTTGGTGCACAGCTAGCTAAGAAGTGGAAAAACTAGTGTAAGTATTAAGAGAAGGGTGAGCTTCTGGACTGTTCTTCTCTGTCCATTTATGGCACAGGACCTAAGTGGACTAGACCTTGACTTCACCCCCACCCATGTGTCCTTCCGTTCCACCATAGGCTCTATCTTACTCTTTTCAAAGAGCCTACAGACCGATTTCTGTGGTGAAATGCTGGAACAACATACCTTTGGAATCCCTCGGTCATGTATCATCTGTGGGACAACTGCCTTTCTTACGGTTTAGGTGAACACAAGAAGAAGCATTTTCACTGCCAATTCCTCCAACAAAAACCGGAAGTCATATTGCTTAGAAAATTCCCAAAGCCTCTCGTATTTGTTTATGGACAGAAGAGGAAAAGAAGAATTGTATGTGTTCTGGTTCTCCAGTGGACCAGGAAGGAGAGATTTCACTTAGCAAGACAACCAAGTCTTCAAGCACCAACTTTCTGGAGACTTTTCCCCTGATCCGCCCCACCAGTCCTTAACATCTTATCATCCTGTCATCTTTATTCCAGCTACCAATGTATAAAAACCACTGCCTCAAGCCATCGGCACAGCCACCAGTGATTTGAACTAATGTGTGTGTATGTGCGCGTGTGTGTAGGTACGTGCACACACACACTTGTGCGTGTGCTTGTGCCTGAGGTAAGGAGGAAGCAGAGAGGAGGAGCAATCTCCGTTCCCATACCAGTCCCTAGCCCCACACCAGACCAATTAAGTCAGAAGCTCTGGGAATGGAGCCAATGCATCTGCTTGGTTTTAAAAAAGCTCCTTAGGAAAAGGACTGAACTGTTATGCCATCCAAAAACATGGATGAATCTTAAATGCATATGGCTAAGTGAAAGGAGCCAGTCTGAAAAGGCTACGTACTGTAGATTCCATTTTTGGAAAAGGCACAACTATAGAGATGCTAAACAAATAAGTGCAGGAAGGAGCATGGTGAATGGGTGAAGCACAGGGAATTTTTTAGGGTGGTGAAACTGTTCTGTGTGATAGTATAATGGTGCATTTATCATTATGCATTTGTCAAAATCCATAATACTTTGTAGCAGAAAGGGCAAACCTTAATAAATGCAAATTTTAAAAATCATTTAAGAGGTCAGAGAATCCGAACATAGAATGCAGACTATGAGAAAAAATTCTAACCACTATACAGATGTATGAAATAACCACACTGAAGGGGGTGGGAGGAAAAGGTACTGATCTAAGTAACTTTTAAATGAACGAAGACTGTAGGACTATAATCAAAAGGAACTGTGCATAAGCACTGTACTCTAGCTGAAAATTCCATTGGCCTCAGGGCTGTGAATTAATAATTCTGATACCGATACATATGTATAGTATAGAAATATTTATACAGATGTGTGTGTGTGTGTGTGTGTGTGTGTGTGTGTATGGGTTAGAATATATATTAACTTTCTCTGTCAGCTAAGAGCAATGACACCCCAGTAGCAATGAGCACACCTAGTGCCCAGATCTTGATTTCTAAAATCATTCTGCAATAGAAGGAATGGGGGTTCCTTGGAGAAATGTCTGATTATAGGTCTGGGCAAGGAATATACAATATAGGCTGGGCACGGTGGCTAACGCCTGTAATCCCAGCACTCTAGGAGGCCGAGGCGGGAGGATCACTCAAGGTCAGGAGTTTGAGACCAGCCTGAGCAAGAGCGAGACCCCGTCTCTACTAAAAATAGAAAGACAATTAGCTGGACAACTAACAATATGTAGAAAAAATTAGCCGGCCATGGTGGTGCATGCCTGTAGTCCCAGCTACTCGGGAGGCTAAGGCAGAAGGATCGCTTGAGCCCAGGAGTTTGAGGGTGCTGTGAGCTAGGCTGATGCCACAGCACTCTAGCCCGGGCAACAGAGTGAGACTCTGTCTCAAAAAAAAAAAAAAAAAAAAAAAAAAGGAATATACAATATGGGGCCTTTTTTAGGGCTAAAAAAAAAAAAAAAGCAAAAAAAAAAAAAAAAAAAAAAAAAAGGAATATACAATATAAATCTGGAGCATCTTGTAGTGCTAGAAAGTAAGAAAATGCTAAAATCAAAACAAAAGAATCCCACAATGATGGGAATGTGTCAAAGAGACACAGGAGGCAACTGAAAGAGCTCCCAATGGCCAAAGCTGGAATCTGAACAACAAAATAGTAATAGTAGTGGTAGTATTGGGTTATCACCCAAAGCATAAAATAAATATCCATGAATCCACATTGATATAAATAAATGACTGAATAAATAAATAAGTGGAAGATAATAGACAAATTCGTGTAGAAAAATTCCACATAATTCATGTAGGTTCTCCTCCCTTAAGGAGGTTGTGATGGTTAAATTTTGTGTGTTGATTTGCCTAGTCTATGATACCCAGTTGTTGGGTAAAACATTCGTCTAGATGTTGCTGCAAAGGTATTTTGTAAATATGATTAACACCTACAATCAGTTGACCTCAAATGAAGATTACCCTCGGTTCTCTGGATAGACTTCATTTGATCAGTCAAAGGCCTTAAAATCAAAACCCAAGAATTCCTAGAAAAGAAGGAATTCTGCCTCAGGACTGCAACGTTAATCTTGCCAGGGTTTCCAGTCTGCTGGCGAATCCTGCGGGTTTGTGACTTGCCCACAAATGTGTGGACCAGCTCCTTAAAATGAATCTAATAATAATAATATGGGAAACTAGGTATGTGATATTTGGGTACTCCCTCTACTATCTTCCTATCTTTTCTTTAAATCTATTATAAAATAAATATTTCATTTAAAAAAATCTTCCTAGGGATTCTAATGTGCTATCAGTGTTGAGAACTACTCCTTATCTGCAGCACCAGAAGATGCAGGTATCCCGAGTTAGAATTCTAATGGCCTTGCAGTGGTGATTAGTCTCTGTGCTCCCAATAAGAACATGGGAATTAAAAGCAGTCACAGCATCAACAAAAACAAATACATGGGACCTGATCAAATTATAAAGCTTTTTGCACAGCCAAAGAAACTATCACTAGAGCGAATAGACAACCTACAAAATGGGAGAAAATATTTACATACTATACACCTGATAAAGGGCTGATAACTAGAATCTATATAGAACTCAGGAAAATCAGCAAGAAAAAAAATCAAACAACCCTATTAGAAAGCGGGCGAAGGACGTGAACAGAAACTTTTCAAAAGAAGATAGACTAATGGCCAAGAAACGTATGAAAAAAATGCTCAACATCTCTAATCATCAGGGAAATGCAAATCAAAACCACAATGAGATATCACCTAACTCCACTGAGAATGGCTTTTATCAAAAGTCCCAAAACAACAAATGTTGGCGTGGATGTGGAGAGATAGGAACACTTATACACTGCTGGTGGGACTGCAAACTAGTACAACCTCTGTGGAAAGGAGTACGGAGATACCTCAAAGGACTAAAAGTAGAACTACCATTTGATCCAGCAATCCCACTATTGGGTATCTACCCAAAGAAAAAAAAGACATCTGCACTCAAATGTTTATAGCAGCACAATTCGCAATTACAAAGATGTGAAAACAACCCAAGTCCCATCAATACATGAGTGGATTAACAAAATGTGGTATATGTATACCATGGAGTATTACCGAATCATAAAAAAATGACCAGCTACCTATTGTATTATCCTGGATGGAGCTGGAGTCCATTCTTCTAAGTGAAGTATCACAAAAATGGAAAAACAAACACCACATGTACTCACGATTAAATTGATACTAATTGGTCAACACTAACGTGCACATATGGGCAGTGACATTCATAGGGTGTTGGGCAGGTGGGAGCGGGGAGGAGGGGCTGGGTAAATCCACACCTAATGGTGTGTGCCTTCTGGGGCATGGGCACGGTTGTTGGGTGGTGCAAAGGCAATTTATGTAACCAAAGCGTTTGTACCCCAGTAATACTCTGAAATAAAAAAAAAATTAAAAAAAAAAAAAAGAACACAGGAATTTAAAAAGTAGAGAGACGCCTGGGTTTACTCCAGGTGTCTGAGTCAGAATCTCCAAGAGAATAAAGGGAAGGGCCAGTCTACAGATAAACTCAAAAGTTTCTGGTGTGATTCTAACTACAGCCTTAGGTAAAAACTTTTCCTCTCAAAGGATTCCCGAATGCAGAGGTGAGATGGGAGGTTATAATTGGCAATGTGCTTTGGGTCCGTTTGGGCTCCAGTGGGTTTTTTGCCTGGAAAATTTAACCCCTCTATAGCATCGCTCCTACAGGAAAAAGTGTCTCGAGTTCTAACCCCACTGAGAAGCAGAGAAGAGTCTATGTGGGCTGCCTGTCCCAGTGCTTGGCGGTGGCTTCCCTGCATTGACAACGGCGGGTGCTCCCCTCTCCAACAGTGCTCTGTTCGTTTCCTCCGACAGTTCTACAGCATCACTGGAATGCCCACGAGGAGCCTGTCAGACGGTATCTGTGCCGTCTGTGGCCAGAAGATCATTGTGGAGCTCGATGAGGAAGGGCTCATTGAGAGCACCTACCAGCTTTCCTGCAATCATGTGTATCCTCTTCACGGGAAACCGTTTGGCCTTCTTAAAGCCTCCATCCCTCCCTCTCCTCCCGTCCCCATCTCCTCTGTCTTGCCTAGCGCCTATCCCCAAACCCCAGACCTTCATCCTCCAGTCCTGGCTTTCTTTTTGAGACTTTCTCATAATCCCTGCTGAAAAATGACCTGCTAATGAAGGTGAACCTCCTCCACCAGTAATTTCCTTTTTAAAGAGGACTTTAAAGAGGACTTTTAATGCCACATGGAGAGGAAGGCAGCAGCATCTGAGCAGGGTGCCGGCTGGGGAAGTTGGTTGAAGTCTTAAGTGAGCAGATAGCCAGGAAGGACAGGGAGAGAAGGGGGTTGGGGGTAAGAAAAAGAGTGAAGTGCAGGGAGGAACCCTGGGTCTGAATCTCAGCGGACCAAGAAATACAAAGTGTGCATTGCCTAGAAATAACCCTAGGAACCTACTTGTGGCAACAGTGGTCTTGTGGGTAGCCAAGGGAGGAAACCAAGCCACCTTCTCAGCTTTGGTTTTGAGAAGAGGATAATGCCACAGGTAGCGGGACATCTTAAAGGGCCATCAAAAGGAGGGACCAAACTATGAGCATCTAGTTCTTGGACCACTTGGCTTCTCTACCAGTGGGTTCCTTCTCAAATAGCTGTCCATTGGCTAAGGGGTCTTCAGTGGCAGGTACCAGACAAGCATGGGCCTGGAAGCATTCTCCAGTGACCATTAAGGAAAGCCTCGATGTGCTGAAAAATGCTGGCATTGAGTCCCCTGAACAAAGCAGCCTGTGCTGCCTGAGCATGTAACTATGGAAACCAAAGTTACGTTTGGGTTGGCCAACAATGAGTATTTTATTTCTTTCCTAAATACAAAAAAAAAAAAAAAAAAAGGAATCATTTCTCTTTGTTTTATGGTACTGTATCAATTTAATAATATTATCATTATGTACCCAGTCAGTTCAAAGCTCTGGTGTTATGAGATGGTTAAACCATCTGTCTTTTGCCTCTGAAGCCCACTTAATTCAGTCAGTCATACTTCGATGTGTAGTGCCTGTGATTCAATTCTGTTTAATCTGGACAGTTTCCATTTATTCAATCCTGAGAGTAAAACCTAGACCAAATGTATCTCAAAAGTAATAGGAGCCTTTACTCCAACATTTAAGCCTTAAAATTTTAAGGGAAGAAACACAACTACAAAGATATACCATATGGAATTCTATAGTGGGTTTGTAGTGTGATACCTCTCCCAAAAAACTATCATTCTTCATAGAAATTTTCCAAGTCCAGCCCTAGTTTTAAATATGATTTACTTTTCAAATGTTGGAACAGAGCCCCATCTGCCATTTGCAAGTGGAAATATTTTCTCTCTCCACCTTAAAAGCCCTTAGGGATTGTCGTACATGTGTGCATATGTAATCTAAAATGTAGTCACCTTTAAATTTGCTTTGCAGCAAGTATTATTAATGGCCCATTTTAGCATGAGTCATATTAGCATGGAGTGGGCAACCATGACTCATATTAACAAGGAGTGCTTATCGGAGAATTTCTCTGCAGCAGTTCTGTCAGTGTGGAAATTTTTCAGCACTGAGATTTTGAAGATGAAAGAGAATGTTAAAGAGGACGTGGACATTTCAGTGCTAGCTCAATGACCCCTGAATTCTATACCTATGTGGAAGATGGGGCTATATTCCAGCCCTTTAGAATGAAGGACTGTATAGGTTTTGTTCAAAATCTTTGTTATAATACATCACTTCATGTTAATCCAAGCATATTGCAAAAATGACCCCAATTCCAAGAACATAAAATAGTGGAAACTCTTAGCTGCATAGAGATCTAATACTGAGAAATTATATAAATTGCCTTCCCTTGGCTCTGTCTCCCTGGTCCTCCATTTGTCAGGGAGGGAACTTCTATATCCTTGCTGTTCGTGTGGGTGTGTAGCAGGCCAGTCAGAAGAAGCGCATGTGATCTTGGCCCAGAAAACTACATTGGGAGCAGCAATTGTAGAAATACATAGGATGGGTCTCATTATATTAATAGTCAATCATTTTGTCCAAATCTACAATATTGGGCAACCTGGAAATATATATTTCCAAAAATGATCGGTTTAAACTGATTCATTTAATAAATATTTCTTCAACACACGTTAGGTGCTAAAGACACAGAGATGAATGAGACATAGTCCCACACATCACACACGGCCTAGGAGACAGAAAGTCAGAATACATTAGAGGAAGTCCCTGGTGCTATAAGAAAACACAGGGTTCACTCTCAACTTCGGTAGCAAAAGGTCAAACTTTCTGGACAAGGAAATGTATACAAATGAATTTGTAATTGCCTAGAGTTTGAGAAGTTACGTTTATTAGGTTTATATTCTATTAAAAATAATTGGCTCCTCATCAGTAATAAAAAAGTCACGGAAAAAAATTTATGAAGTTAATAGAAATATTTGTAAGTTTATGACCACAAATAATTTAAACTTGTCTAAGTGCCTAAGACAAGTCTGATTACACAGAAGGTAATGAACAGTGCGCAAAAAGCCAAATCGGGAAATGTCATGGTAAGTGCATGAGAAATGCGCAATGAATGAGGCAGGGAAATATGATACATATCTGTAAGACGTTACTGAAAAAAAGAACTTTCACATTCTTTAATCTAGTTCTTACCAGAATCAAGTGAAGCAAGAGCAAGTAAGGCGAAGAAGCTAAATTCCTCAGGGTGGTAGAGCTAATGCAGCTCTCACTCCACGATGTCACTGGGGGCTCCGTGGTCCTACAGAACCTGCCTAAAACAGTGATGTGCACAGTCAAGTCGCGACTGACAGCCATTGTCACCCTCCACTGCTAGACCCTAAAGACGGGGTCATTTCCATGTCATCGTGAACCAAACATTGCCCTTTTGTATCTAGAAGCTTCCCTAACAAGATGCTTCAGCTTTCACGAATTCTGCATCCGAGGTTGGTGTATTGTTGGTAAAAAGCAGACTTGTCCTTACTGCAAAGAGAAGGTTGATCTGAAGCGGATGATCAGTAATCCGTATCCTTTTTAAAAAAAAGTTACAAAACAATATCTTAAATGTTTCTAGGAATGCATTCTTCAATCTACACTTTCATTATCTGTGTATGGTTACAGCAGAAAACTTTTGTTTTCCCTAACCACCTACTTCAAGATGACTTGTGACCTCTTTTCTCCTCTGTGCCTTTTTACTATTCTGGTTAGGAAGTTAAATCCCAGGAAACATTCCATTCTTCATGCTCCCTATTTTCCACATTAAGGGCTTTAGTGGAAATGTGATGGGACTTTGCAAAAGATGGGTAAAATATGTGAAAGAATAATCAGGATGGATGGATGCATAGACAGATAAATGGGTGGATGGGATCGGTAGAGGAGTGAGTGGATAAATAGAAAAATTGGAATTGAAGATTTAAAAGCCCCAAATGTGAACGAAAATATAAGAAAGTATTTTCAGGGTGTACCAAATTTTATTATTCCCAGAAATGAGTAGGCTTTTCCCCCTTGGATTTTGGCTTTCTAAATTCCTTGCTATGCCTCATCTCTTCTTAGGCTAAACCCTAGTGATAACAATATTGAAAGGAAACAAAGACCTTCACAGTTGATCAGCTTCTGGTAGCAACTAGGATTTTCATAGACATCAAGGATGCCCAGCAGAATAAACTCAAGTCTCATTAAGGTCACAGGAAGTAAAGGCCCCCATCTAGACATGACTAGAATGACTTACTCCTCAACCTCACTGTCCCAAGACCAGGAAGGGGCATGGGAATGGGATTAAAATGTATACCCCCCCTAAGAAGAAGAGCACTAAGAGGTTGGCATCGACAGCCTTTGTAGACTTTCTGAGTAACAGTCACCTTTTTACAGTGCTAAAAGAAACACCTTCCTCACTCGCTGCTCGCCTACTCTTCATGTAACATTGGCTACTGGCAGCAACGCCCCTATCTCTGAGCACTGCAAATTAGGAATGGACTTCCAAGGAGGGCGTCAGCCAAGGATGCAGCACCAGTGGGTCGTTGAGTCTCAGGGCCATGACGTGGAAACAGAGATACCCTGCGCAGCTACCCGCTCCACCCACAGCGGGCCTTGCTTGGTGAGTCAGTGCCACTCACACACGGCTCCAGGCTGAAGGCGTGCGATGTTCCTCCCTGCCCATCCGCTATCTCGGGATTCCTCTCCTAATGGGAGGAGACCAAGTCCAGAACACCTTTTGGTTAAAAACTTACAAGACTGCAGTGCATAAATATTTGTTATAAAATTGGTGATATTATGATCATAAATGTGACTTCAAATAGTTTAATTAATGAAAGGAAATTCATTTTTTATATAGTCCTGAGAAAATAAACTGTTGACTAGCACATGCACTCTTTTTATTGAGACTCAGTATAAGAAAAAGCTACATGTGAAAAAGCTGCCATTTTGTTTGTAAATTGCTATCAGATATACTATGCATTAATTAAGTTCCCTTAGCACAATTTATCAAAGATATCAGAAAAAGATCATCTTATCTGATAATTAGTGTTATTCCTTTTAATATACAATGGGTTCCCTCTGAGGTGCCAGCTAATGGAAAGCCCAGTGCTAAGTTTTGCAGCTTCTACTAGCCTTGGTTTTCCAATATGGTCATTCCCCTCTTCCTCCCTCTTTTAGCATATACCCTTGGTTTTTATTCTTGTTTTATAGTTTGGGATTTTATTGTAAACCAGTTTTAATTTATTTTTGGAAATTGGATGTGGTTTAAATAACAATGATAACCATAATGCTATAAAAATCATGTAAGGGGCTTTTAATTGAGCTCATAGAATTAACGAGAAAGGAAATACCCGTTCGTTACATTGTTTACTATTAATATATTTGCAAATGATATTCATGAATATGTCTGATACTTGGCTGTACATAGAACAACCTCCTTAACTGAGACTTAGCTGGGAGCGCACGCATTTTGTGTACGGACAAATCCTGGATTGGGTTCGTTACCTGGTGGCCTGGCAACCTGTGGTCATAGGAATAGTTCAAGGCATTAACTATTCACTAGGGCTAGAATAGTACAGCAGACTTACCCCAGAAGCAATATATGGCATGGTTGACATATTATTAAACCCTTGGTTCTACATTTAATATCGATTTTTTTTTAATTTTGCAGATGATCCCAAGAGTTTAGAAAACTAAATAAAATTTGGTGTCATACTTAAAGCAGTTTGTCTCTGTGAAAAGAATTTGAAGAGAAACTGAACAATGGAAGAAATAAAGCGTGCTTTCTCATCTTTCCCATTATAACCATTTTCTAGCCCATGCAGACGACACATCTGTTACACCCCACTATGGACACTCCGTCTCTGGTTTGACTGATAATGATCTCATCTGTGAGGGGTTTCAGAGGTTTGTAAGGTCCTTCTCACATACATTGAGTCCTAACTAATACCCTCTCATCAATTCAACATCTTCAAAGAAGTAGGTAGAGTTGTTAAGTAATCTATGGTTTAAAGATCCTGTCTTTTCTGCTCTATGTCCTTGTCGCCATGTGGCAGCTTCAGCACCACAAAGCCCTTCTGTACAGAGGGAGTTAATCCCAAAGCTGCTGGCACCAGGTGCCTCGTCTTCTCAATGGGCCACAGCTACTGGGTTTCCTGGGACTGCCCAACACACTCAGCACAACCAAGGGCTGCACTAACATGGAAAGACTCACTCTTTTTTTGTGCCACTGTTTATACACACACACACACACACACACACGTGTGCATGCACACACACATGTACAAGGACACGCACAATCATTCCATTGCGGTACTCTGCTTTTATTCACTTCATACCACTTATGAATACCTGAAATCATACCATGAATTTATTTGTTTATTGTTTATCTTCCACTCCATGAAGGCAAGGAATTTTATCTGTGTTTTTCCCTACTACATGCCCAGCACTTTGAGCACTGCCTGGCACATAACAGGTACTCAAGGAATATTTACTGAAAGAATAAATTAATCTGGCAGAAGGGAACAAAATTAACCAAACAGGGAAGATGCACCAGGAAGAATTAACCCAACAATATGTTGAACTCCTGAAATTAATTCGTTTTAAATTACTGGTCATTTGTTAAACAGCCAACACTGTATATATAGCACCAGAATCTACTCAGCAATACTTGAAGCCATTACACTTATAAGAAGTAGAAAGGAAATACTCTGATTATTAATATTTTCCTTGTCCAAGTACTGGCACTATACTTAATGCTACTCAAAGTTCCATCATCAACATAACTCACACTAAGATTTCTAACTGTTGGGAATTTTCCTTATTCAAACGGCCTGATCCTTCAGTATTATGATTGGTTCACTATCCAAATTAGTAGAAGATTTAATTCCGGTTTATTTTTCTACTCAGCAAACATTCCAGTAATTCAATACTTACTACATAGTATAGTAGGCATGTTCAAGGGTTAGGGAAGGAAAAACAAGATTCTTGAGCTTATAGTCTATTGACAAATAAGACTCCATATTTAGATAAAGCACTAACAAAAAATTGGTTTTAATTCTGTTAAAAAAAAAAAAAGGATCCCTTAAAGATCTCTGATGTATTTGCCTCTTACCTTTTATGGACAGCTTTATGACGGCTGCTTGTAGAACCCTTTAGAATTCTGGGCAAGTAAACCAGTATTTATCTGCATGGAATTAAAAATGACCCTCAGGGTTCAGGAATGTCAGATAATCACTAATCACTGACTCCCTCACCCGCTGCTGTGCACCCCTTTCTCCCTCCACCCCCCATTTCCTAAGTTTCATGGAAGATGATTTTTCCACAGACAGTTGGAGTCAGGGGCAAATAGCAGGCAGGGGGCGGTGGAGCTCCGCAGCCCAGTCCCTAAAAGGCCAGGGGACCAGTACCAGTCCATGGCCCGGGACTTGGGGACCACAGGTATACACTACGAAGTTACCAGTGGTAACCCCAAGGTGATGGAATAAGAGCAGATCCTTACTCTTTTATACGGTCTCATCTCTCTTCCAAAATTTCTCTGGTGAACATGTTTAATATTTCCAATGAGAAAACTAAATATTTTTAGGCCAGGCACAGTGGCTCACACTGTGCACTTTGGGAGGCCAGGGCAGGAGGGTCACCTCAAGCCAAGAGTTTGAGGCCTGCCTGGCAAACATAGCGAGACCACATTTCTACAAAAAATAGAAAGATTAGCCAGGCATGGTGTGAGCGCCTCCCAGCTACTCGGGGAGGCTGAGGTGGGAGGATCACTTGAGCCCACGAATTCAAGGTGAGCTGTGATCACATCACTACACTCCAACCTGGGCAACAGAGTGGGACCCCGTCTCAAAAAAAAAAGGAAAGAAAAAAACTAACAGATTATTTTAAATCTATTAACTATGAAGCTATTTCTATTGGTGTTTAAATTCTTGAAATTAAATATATAGATCAAGTAAATGTTAAATCTATCTGGTTCTCATGATAATTAATATGGTGCTTATTAGAAATGTAGAAAACATTAATAGAGAAGTAAAGCAGGAAGTCCATTATTTTGTTTGGTTTCTGTGGCATGTCGTCAAGTTTTTTTCTTCTGAACTTGTCCGTGTTTTTTCTTAATCTGGCTACTGTTTCCTCTATAACACTCTCTGGGAGTTTTATAAAAGAGATGCAGCCCTATGTGAGTTCCCCAAGGACTAAGGCCTGTTATGCACTTGATGAACTTATTTCTTTGGGGTATTTATCTGCAAACAACAGGGTCCCGTATATCCCTGCTAGTGCCTATAACAGAAAAATACTCATTTACAAGCCATAATATATAAGGGAATGAATCACTTCTTAGAAAATAATAATAGATGACACCCACTACAAGCATCTCTCTCACCCTCCCACACCGCCACAGTTCCCGTTCTGATGGGCTTGGTACTCTTGTCCCGCCCGTGGTAACCAAGGTCCCTGGGCTAGGGGTTTACTCACATCTCTGTATTTCGTACTCTCAATACCCTAGGGCGTAGAGATCACCATCCCTATTTTAAAGACAAAAAAACATTTTGGGTCAGATCAAATGACTTGCTCAAGATTACACCTCCAGGTCCTCTGACTCCAGAGCACAATTAACCACATGAACCCAGTTCTGGTTCAGAATTGAGCAGAACCCAAAGGAGACTCACTTCCTTTCCTGTGGTTCCCATCCTACAAGAAGGTCACACAGAATCAGTAAATAGCTCTTAGCAGAGAATGTTGCATCAAAATTTAATGTATAGTATTATTAAATCTAGATTATAAAAATTAACATGTAGTAGCAATATCTATCTTTAAATTATTGTGTATCAAACTAATTTTGAGTCATTGTGAGGAACCTCTAGGTACATACTTGTTTAACAATCTATGTAGCTCATATATACTTCTTTAGATTTTCAGAAGAAAAAAAAAGGATGGCCTTTTTAGAATTAGAAACAAGACTTTTTAAAGAAGAAAAAAGCCACAAGATGTAGAGGAAACAAACTAGAAAACAGGAACTGAGAACCAGAGTGACTAGACACTCATCAGAACCTATCAGGCAGTTCAAGGCTGAGGAAGATCAGTGTGAGGACATGGGAGGCTTCTTTTAAATTCTTCTCAACCAAGCATTTGATTTACCTCAAGAGTTTTGCTTTCACAAAAAGACATAATTTACTGTACCTTGTGTTATGTGCCCTCTCTCAAGTAACCATGGCTGGAGAAACCTATCAAATGGCCACAAAGACAGATCCAGTTCATATGAAAATATGCCCTCTAGGTATATTTTGCATCCTGTAAAGTTTAATGGGAACACATAGCACTTTTCTCTAGGAATAGCAACAAGTTTGGCCGAACGCCTCAAACAGTTTGCACTGTTTTTCTTGAGAACAGGAGCACAGAGAGGTGACAGTGTGGGTGGGACAGAGAATGCCCTCTGCAGCCACGCGGGGGTATCTTAGCAGAGAGCTGACTGACCTGACACAGTCATTGGAAATCTTCAGTTCGTGTGTGCCATTTGCTAATGAAGCGAGCCAATTGCTACAGATTTAGTCAGCCCTTCCTATCCACAGGTTCCCGGCCATGGATTCAACCAACCATGGATCAAAAATATTCTAAAACAAATTTTAAAATAAAAAATAACAATACCACAATAAAACATAATGCAAATCTTTAAAACCACAGTACAACGGCTATTTACATAGTTTTTGCATTGTATTAGATTTTATAAGCCATCTAGAGATGATTTAAAGTATACAGGATGATATAATGTAGGTTATATACAAATACTATGCCACTTATATAAGGGACTTCAACATCCGTGAACACATTTTTTATACCCAGAACCCCCTCAGATACTGAAGGAGGACTTTATTCAGGTATCAATACTGGACTTAGATCATGATTATCTCAAAGAATAAAGAAAACCAAAACCACTTTTTTTCTAATCTGGTAAATTTTTATAAAACAGCACGGTAGATACAATTTGAGTCGTTTTGGTAGTTTTAGTAAGCAAGTCCTCAAAGGACAGTCCATTCATGTGGTTTTTATATAATTATGTCGGCATGAACTCAGTTACAACCAGTGATATAAAGACCCCAACTAGGCTGAGACTGGCCTTCCACACAGGAACCTAGGACTTTATTGCAGCTCTCAGATTGAACCAGAACCCCTCCTGCAGAGCCTCGTCAGTGGGCCACTCCAGGTAGGTCTTGGTGTTCATTATCTTCCGCAGCTTACAGAAGCGCTGGGGAATGGCTTTTTTCTCGATGGGCTCCAGAAGAATGAGAATGGCAGCGTCATCGTTCTCATCAAAGAGCCGAAAATGGGAGAAATCCAGTTCATACTTGCACCACTCACTCTTCACAAAGTTTTCAGAGAGCACAAAGACAGTTTTGTGGCTCTTTTCGATGGAATCAATAATATTGTCGATGATCCATTTGCCAGGAATAAAGTCCCGCTTATGAAGACACAACTTGAAGGGGGGGTTGAAATTCTCCAGCTCCTGGACCATCAGGTTCTCCACCCAGTAGGAATCCTGTTCACTGTAAGAAACAAAAGCATCGTAACAGATGTCCCTCCTGGGAGCTTTCCGGGGCTTCCTTTTGGCCTGGAGCCAAGCCCACATCATTTTCATGTACCACACTCCGTGGAAACGGTGGCACAGAACTCCAGTGAGCAGGATCAACAGGAAGAGGGCAAAGCACATGCCAGACACCAGTGCTGCCCTGTGACACTCAGACACCGAGAGACGGACGTCCTGAACCCGCTGGCCCCGCACGTGGGATGGAGAATCACACAGGTAGTTTTCCGTCCAATTGATGAAGACCTTGGCCAGCGCTTGCTGCTCCCGAGTGAAAGAGAGGAACTCACAGGAGCAAATGAAGGTGTTGCCACCAGCTTCCAAAGTTTTCAGTTTGTGAAAAGAATCAAGTTGCTCCTTAGAAAAAGTATTTATTGTATTCGTTCTGATGTTCAACACCAGTAATGCGGGTAAGAAGGAGGCATCTGGTAGAGTCTTCAACTTATTTTTAGAAATATAAAGTTCTTTGAGTTGTGGCAAAGTCACAGGAAATGAATTGAGGTTGTTATCACTAACATCTAAAATTTCCAGTGTCTGGGGAATGCAATAGGTTAAATTGTGTATTCGTGTGTTGGATAAGTTCAAATATTTCATCTTTTCTGGCCACTGACAAGTTTTAGGCATCGAATGAAAATGATTCTTACTGATATCAAGGTGAGTCAGGTTTTTCAGAGTAAGCAAAGTCTCTGCAGTTTTTCCTAATGATGTTAAATGATTCTGCCTCAAAATTAAGGTATGTAGAGAGGGCCAGGCATTCTCACAGGCTGAATTTTTCAACTGTTCCTCTAACATCAAATTTTCATTGAGATCCAAGTATTCTAATGATTTTAAATGTTGTGAAAGTAAACAAGGAACCAGAAAAACCTTACTGTTTTCTACTGTGATTCTTTTAACTCTTCCTGCAAGTGAATATAGTGTCCTCAGATCATAAAATGAATAAAAATGTAGAATACGCAACCTCCGTATAGTTAATGTTTCTACTTTACCTGGATCTTTAACTATGTCATTATCAAATGTACTAAAATCACCTACTCCATCAAGAGTACAGTCGTCAAACTCTATCTCTAACAATTCAGAAGCGTAACTCATAAGTTTTAGAACCTGAGCCAAACTTTCATCGGTGATTTTCACATTTCTCAATGTAAACTTTTTAATCAATCGATTTGTTTCACTGATGGAGAGTTCTGAAAAATGGAAATTGTACAAATCAACATCTCGCAGTTCCACATATTCCACGGAACTTAAAAGATCTACAAAAATCTCCAGTAGTAAAATAGGCTCACTCATATGAAGGGTCAGATTACTTATGTTCTGAATTGACCTCAAACTTTTTGGCTCGTAACTCTGTAGAGCTGAAGCAACAATCTCAAGTTCCTGAAGAAAGGTGAGTCCAGCAAAATCCTTTCTCTGAATCGTAGTGAAGCTGTTAGTATTTCCCACTCTCAGGGTTCGCAAATTTGTGAGATGAGAAAAGAGAGATGTTTCCCCGAGTGTTTTGTAAGGATTTCCCAGTAAGTTTAAGGATTCCAAGGAAGAAAGGGGCCTGAACCAGGAGGATGATAAATTAGATAAGTCATTATAGGATAAGTCCAGATGTTTCAGACTGCCCAGGGAAAAAAAAGAATCTTCATCTATTGCGTTAATTTCATTGGACTTTAGCACTAGAGCCTGGAGGTTCATGCACCTCCTCAGGTCACTGTTGCCAATATAGGTGATCTTGTTGTTGGACAGGTCAAGACTTTTCACAGCTGCTGTAAGCCCTGAGGGAATGGAGTTTAAAGAACTAGAGTGGCCAACACAGACACCAGTGGAGTCACAAGTCAGAGAAGCCTGACCAAAGGACCCTTCTTTGGAGAGGCTAATGACAGCCCCCAACACCCACGCCATCCACAAAGCATATGGCATTGTCCAGTGATGCAACCTACAAATAAAAGAGGCTCAAATGACTGATTGCTTTTGACAGCATATCATAATTCCGATACTTGAGAAATGTTTTGCAGGCATAACATATACACAGAGGATATAACAGGTGAATGGCACATATGAACGGGGATAAAAAACAAATTCCTGGGCCGGGTGCGGTGGCTCACGCCTGTAATCCTAGCACTTTGGGAGGCCGAGGCGGGTGGATTGTTTGAGCTCAGGAGTTCGAGACCAGCCTGAGCAAGAGCGAGACCCCGTCTCTACTAAAAATAGAAAGAAATTAATCGGACAATTAAAAATATATAGAAAAAATTAGCCGGGCATGGTGGCACATGCCTGTAGTCCCAGCTACTCGGGAGGCTGAGGCAGGAAGATCGCTTGAGCCCAGGAGTTTGAGGTTGCTGTGAGCTAGGATGACGCCACGGCACTCTAGCCCGGGCAAAAAGAGTGAGACTCTGTCTCAAAAAAAAAAAAAAAAAAAAAACAACAACAACAAACAAATTCCTTGGCACATCATCAACACAAACACAGATATATGGCCACTGTGCAGTGACTTCAAAGCACGATGACCTGGGAATATAGAGCAGGACTCAATAAACGTGGGCTGAAAGAGTAAATGAATGAATGGAGTGATGAACAAGCAAGCAGTTTAACAAATGGGCTGGGCTTAACCATATAGATTTACAATTACCTTTTTCTGCACTTCAAACCTTCTTATATAAAAGCATGTCTTTTCCCTGTTTCAATGCTCCCTTGACTCACAGAGACATCTCACAGAACCAAACCACAGCTCTCATTGAACAAATATTCACTGAATGAAGCTCCAGGAGTAGCACGCTTCAACCCAAAGAAAAAGGTTTCACGTGCCTCAAGCCTGCCTGTACTTACCACTAGCACGCAGGAAGGATGTTGGAAACCCTGGGCAGAGCAAGGTGATCTGCTGGGTTGAGGGACACTCCGACCATCAAACCTTCTCTTCCTGTTTAGAAATAAATGCAGCCAATGTTTAAGTCTGGATGGGCTGTTCAGAGGAATGGGGGGAAATAAGGCTGTCTGCACCACAACTGCTAGTTTAATTTCAACTGTTAACCCAACAGTTTTCTCTTTGCCCACTTTCTGAGCCCTATATCCTTCCCTGGCTCTATTCAGCTGTCCCATTTCTTGCATCTGTATGCCTTTTCTGTATTTGCTCAGTATATTAACTCTACCAAAATTTTTAAAAAATATTTATCCCAGGCCAAGTATGGTGGCTCACACCTGTAATCCTAGCACTTCAGGAGGCTGAGGCAGGAGGATCAAGATCAGCCTGGGCAACATAGCGAGACCCCCATCTCTACAAAAAATAAAGAAAATTAGCTGGGCGTGGTGGTGCACACCTTTAGTCCCAGCTACTTAGCAGGCTGAGGCAGGAGGATCACTTCAACCTAGGAGTTTGAGATTGCAGTAAGCTATGATGATGCTACTGCACTCTAGCCAGGTGACAGGGCAAGACCCTGTGTCTCTCTCTATCTCCCCCCTATACACACACACACACACACACACACACACACACACACACACACACACACATCTATATATTTATCTCCAAGAACAAAACTTTTTATAGGTAAAACTAATTCTCTCCATTCACAGAATCTGAGAAATTATAAAGGCCTGGGTTGTATAATTTAAAGTCACAGAGAATTAAAACAGAAACATGCTTAATTTGGAAATTTAATTGCTATCAGAGTCAGAATTCTTATGTCCACACCAATACCACTGCTTTGCATACCCTCCTCCTTTTTTTAGATAAATGGGTCATACCATGCATATTTATTCTAGATTTTCATTTTTCTGCAGATTTATTAAAGTATAATTGGTATACAAAAAACTATACATAATTAATGTATACAACTTGGTGAGTTTGGACGTATGTATACACTCATGGTATCATCACCACAATCCAGGAAATAAACATATCTATCACCTCCAAAAGTTTCTGCCACTCTATGGTTTGCCTTTACACTTTGTCAATGGAATCTTTTTGTCTTAACCCATTAGTGCTGCCGTAACAAAATAGTGGAGACTGGGTAATTTATAAAGAACAGAAATTTATTTCTTATCGTTCTGGAGGCTGGGAAGTCCAAGATCAAGGTATCTGCACTGGTTTCTGGTTAAGGGCTACTGTATTCTTCCACAATGGTGCTTGTTGCTGTGTCTTTACAAGGCAAAAAGCGGGAGGGTAAGAGAGTAGTACATTCAATCTCAAACCCTTTCATAATGGTGCTAATTCCAAGGCAGGGCCCTCATGACTTAATGGCTTCCCAAGGGCCACACCTCTTAATACTGTTGCATTGTGGATTAAGTTTCAATGTAAATTTGGGAGGGGACATCATCATTCAAACTATAGTACTTTTGATGAACAGATGTTCTTACATTTCATATATTTTTAACAGTGATTTTTGTGGCCTGTTTAAGAAATATTCCTACATTATCACGAAGGTATTCTCCTTATTACTTTCTAACATCTTTATTGCTTTGGTTTTCACGTTTAGGTCTATAATATACCTGGGATTAATATTTGAGGTAGCAGACAGGAGTCATTTTTTTCCAATATGGATATTCAGTTAACCCAGCACCATTTTTTAAAAGATCATCTTGGGGAAATAATCAACAATATTATCTCTGTCAATAATCACATATCAAAATAGTGCTGGGTCTTCTTTCAGTGCTATTTTAATCCAATCTCTGTTTTTCTATCCCTAAACTAGTAACATACTATATTAAAAACATAATATATCTCAATATCCAGGAGAGCAAGTACTTCCTCCTTGTTATTCTTCAAATGTGTCTTGGTTATTCTTGGTCCTTTGCATATTTTTATAAATGGTAGAATCAGCTTGTGAGTTTCAAAAACAAAACCTGTTGAGATTTTAATTGGCAATGCATTGAATCTGTAGATCAATTTGGGAATTATTGACATCACTGCAATACTGAATCTACCAATCCATGAACATGATATATCTCTCCATTTATTTAGGTCATCTTTAATTTATCACAATATTTTATGGCTTTTGCATAAGGTTCCTGGGCATATTTTGTGAAATTTATTCCTCAGTATTTGATACTTTTGAAACATTGAAGATAATATTATAATACATACCTATATATGGCATATACATACATGTAGAAATTTAATTAAATTTTATATATTGACCATGCCTCCTAAAGTGTTGAGATTACAGGTGTGATCCCAGCCTGTAATCCCAGCTTGATCTATAGAAAGGACCAGGTAGTCACACCTGGAATATCAGTGAAATTTGTCACGGGATGAACTAGAAGATCTTTAAGATCATATAGGGATTTAGGTTTAACATGACATATCCAGCATTTAGTGAAGTTTCCTGCAGAAGCTACCAATTGTGAAATCCTAACCATAGTGCTGTCTTGCTATGCATAAACAGAAAGATGACACAGAAAAAAAGAGGAAAAGGAACAAAGATTTCATAATAACAGGAAAGAGAAATCTTGTCTGGGTGAGGTGGCTCATGCCTGTAATCCTAGCACTTTGGGAGGCCAAGGCAGGAGGATCACTTGAGGCCAGTAGTTCAAGACCAGTCTGGACAATACGGAGAGATCCCGTCTCCACAAAAAATAAAAAAAATAGCCAAGCATGGTGGCATGTGCTTGTAGTCACAGCTACTCTGGGGGCTGAGACAAGAGGATTGCTTGAGCCTAGGAATTTGAGGTTAAGTGAGCTATGATCTGGCCACTACACTCCAGTCTGGGCAAGATCCTGTGTCTAAAAAAAAAAAAAGAGAGAGAGAAAGAGAGAAGAGAAATCTTGATCCATGTGATCTTGAGAAAGTTATTTACTTCTAGGATGTCATCTGCTTCTGGGAAGAAACCTCCTTGGTCAGTTTTACCTTGAGGTCTCCAACAGGTACACAGTCTCAAGAGTCTTGAGGGGTGCTTTTGAATTGAGCGATGTGGACCCAAGACTCGCGGCTCTGAAGTTTTGCTACAGAGTGGGTGGTATGGTTCCTTCCAACAGAGTTCAAGGGCAGTCTTTCTCTGCTGTCATTTCCAGAAGACCCAATCCCTAGGTTCTAGATCATGAAAGGTTTGGCTGTCCTCAGTTGATAAATTACCTTTTACCTGGTGAAAGTACACTTTGGCATAATGCATCAAAGCTTTGCAGTATTTAGTCATGTCAGTGTTTATAAGAGCAGGAGATACATGAGGTTCTATTAGGGGCATATGTCTTCCAGTGACTATTACATAAAGGGTTAATTTGTAGTTTCCAGTAGGGGTGGATCTGATGGCCATGAAGGCCAACAGTAATACTTTTGGGCAAAGTAATCAATCGATTCAGCTAACTTTATCAATTTCACATTTAAATTACCATTTGTCCTTTTTACCTTCCCAGAAGACTGAGGATCATAGGAACAACAGTCATGCCATTGTGTTTGTAATACCTTATTTAACTATTTTATAACTTGTCTATCACTGGAGATTTCTCCAAGAATGCCCCATAAAGGAAACACATTTTCTAATAACCTTTTAGCTACTGTTACAGCATCAGTCTTCCTACATGAGAAAGCTTCTATCCAACCAAAGAATATGCAGATTATTACAAGAACATTTTGATATCCCATTGAGAGTGGCAACTGAATGAAGCCATCTGTCAGTGTTCAAATGGTCCAGCAGACAGTAGAAATATACCACCTCAGGTTTTTATATTATCTTACAAGAATTACAGGTTTAGCAAACCAAACATTGATTATAAACCATTTTATCAATTTTAGAACAGTCACCACAGCAATATTTTTTCATAATTTCATTTCATCTGTTTCATGATGAGTTATAGAATACAGAGCTTTTAATGATGAAAGCTATATGGACTCAGTGAGGACCAGATGGCTGTCTGAGTCCTCGCCGAATCCACACTTAACACTGAATTTACATCCTTTTAAAAGTCAGTTTTATTTCTCCAATTCAGGTGCATAACACTGATTATTAAATAGGTTATCATACATAATTTAACTTGGATCAATCTTATGGAGTTCCTTCAAACTGCATATCTTAACCATTTAAGTACTGGCTGACTTAGCAGGAAAATCTGCCAAAGTAGCACTTCCTTGGTATTCAATTCATTCTTATTCTGCTTGATGTTGGGTTAGCAGTTTTAAGCACCAATCAGTTTCTTCATTAGATTCCTGGAAATTCTTACCCAGTCCAATGGTATGATCTTAAAGTTATCAGAAACCTGTACTTGTCAGATTCCTTTCTATGAACCTTTTCAAAGGTGAAACACTTTAGGGTTTTTGTTTGTTAGTTGTTTTAGGTCCCCAAACTTTAAATTTATAATTGGTTTCAACAGCTTTCAGGAAACTACCAGAGTAAAACAAGTAACTCTTTGTGAATGACAAGGCTTAAAATGGCCTTGGTTAAAGATCTGATGAGAGTTTGTTATAATGCAATCCACAAGGAAATTTTATTATTTCTGCAACATACAATGCTTTAAGATAACTAGAATTATAACCAGGACTATCAGGTTTATAAGAGCTTCATGTGATTTCTGAAGCATGTACTAATAACATTTCTACTTAATGTGACTTTAAGATGGTTCAGCATCACTTATTACTTGACAATGCTTCCTGTGCAATTTAACATATCAAACTTAACTAGTTTAACATCTCTTTTTTATAAAGAGAGAGAAAAAATTCCTTTAACATATTGCAGGAGCCCATCTAGAAGCTCCCAAAGTTAGTTCAAGGTCAAAGTTCTTAATTTAAAATTTGATTTTGGGAAGTTGTTAAAAATATGAAAAAGCTTAAAACACTTGATTAAAATAGGATCACAGGTCACTGTGAAATAATATTTATTCATTTAACTAGAGTAATCATTAAAAGACTTCAAAGACAAATACATAAAGCCATGCAGTTGCAGAAAAGCCTTGGCTCTTTTAACAGAGAGCTCAGCAGGCAAAGACCTAATAAAGACAACACGATCGGTACTAATTGATCAACACTAATGTGCACATATGGGAAGTACATTCATAGGGTATTGGGCAGGTGGGAGGGGGGAGAAGGAGATGGGTCAATGCATACTTAACGGATGCAGTGTGTGCTGTCTGGGGGATCGGCACACTTGTGGGGCAGTACAAAGGCAATTTATGTAACCAAAGTGTGTGTATCCCTGTAATACTCTGAAATAAAAATTTTTTAAAAAGACAACATGAAGCACAAGAAATTATCTTGATACGAAATCTTTGTTTCCTAGGCCAATTACTTAGCAGATAAAGAAAAATATTTCGCAATTTTTCATTAAGAGCAGACCAATACTTCAAGAAAGAAGTATTGTTGTCTTAACATAGGAGACCAATTTCTAGTTCTACATCAGTATATTTTTTATATTAATGCTCAATTTTACAAAACACATAAATAATTACCTTCAAATCTTAGTTAGCTTGTTCATACATAGAACTCCCTTCCCAAGATTCTTCTTCCACAAACCTTCTACAACTGTCTCATATCCGTTCGGTTTCTGTCCTATACTCTTCCTCTTTCTTCTTGTGGAACAACCAGTCCTCCTACTTTGAGACAACTATCACTCTCTTTTTCCCTTAACAAAACGCACCCTCACACTTTATAGCTTTTCTTACCAAAAACACAACTTACTTCTTTGTATACTTGCAGAGTTGTTTCCCTTATTATTTCTGGTAATTTTAGTTACATATATTAGTTGGAATTCTTAATTCTCAGTAACTTTAATTTCCAGTGAAAACTAGAAAGTAAGCAATTGTGAACCATCTGTTACACCAGCATTATGCAGATTGACAAATCTATGAATCATAATTTCTAGAAGCATGTGCTGTCTCATAGCACAATTTTTCAATATGACACAAAACATGTTTACCAACAGATCCAACTATCTTTAGTCTCTCTGTAATAGGAAACTATAGGAGAGGCAAAATTTTCTCTCTGTCCTCTTAGGGGTTTTGGCTAGGCCTGAAAATTAAATTGTTGTTTGTAATGAGGCGGTCCCCTTGGTTCCTGTAGCTGTTGTAGCTGTAAAGATACGTCCCTATTTGCTTTAAGTAAGGAGTTGTTCTTCTGTGAACACTGTAATTCTAAGTTATCTCTGGTAAGGTTTACTTATTTTTCTAGAAAAGCACGGGTTCTCAGGCCACAGTTCTTATACATAGAACTGGCGAGAGTTACAGAAGGAGGAGTTGCAGACTCCCTGTCTTCTAGGAGCCTTACAGGAGGCCTCCTATTGGACCGGCTCAGATTTGGTTTCTTTATCAGATCCAATCCAATTCTGGGCCCAGTCCAGTCAAAAAATTGCTCAAATAAAGTCAGAGAACTCAAAATGCAAATTCACAGAGCCAAACCTGAGAGGGAACTTACCCACAGCGTCCAGTTGCAGCGAGAAGGCGATGGGCACAGTGGGCCCCACAAGGACCTTCACTTGGCCACTCGGTGCTCCTGAGGGTCACTGAAGGTCTCTTTTGGATCCCAGTTCTGACATCAAAAACTGTTAAAAGAAAAACTTTACACAAATTAAATTTGACAGAGTTTATTTGAACAAAGAATGATTCATGAATCAAGCAGCACTCGAATCAAAAGCGGTTCAGAAAGCTCCACCCAGGAGTATAAGCAGCAAGCTTTTACAGGCCAAACATAGAAGCATAGTAATTACATGATTGGCCACAACGAGGTATCTGCCTTATTTGGGCATGGCGTGATAAGCATTTGCCTTATTTGGGCATGGTTTGATTAGCTGGATGCCTGTAATTGGCTAAGCTTGGCTATTTGTGATTGGCTGAAACCCAGCTATTAGTTACAAAAAATACTAAGTTAGGCTTCATTTTTTTTTTTTAACATGCTTTGTTGGGTTGCAAATTACTATGTAAGAACTCAAATTTTATTTAACTTAACAAAAGAGAGTTTCTCAATTTTTTTTTAGATAAGTTATTTGTGCCTGATTTTTTTCTTCTTATCTTGCCAGAGGTTTGTCATTTTTATTAGCATTTTTGAGAAACCAGCTTCTGACTTTATAGACGCTCTATTTTCTATTTCATTAATTTCTAATCTTATATTACTATTTATTCCTTCTGCTTTCTCTGGGTTTATTTTAATGCTCCTTTTCCAATTTCTCGAGGTTGTTGCCTGTTCCCATTCTCGATCTACCATAAATGCATTTAAGATTATCAATTTTCATCTAAACACTAGTTTAGCTGCATCTAACAAGTTTTTATATGTATTTTTTCATAATTAATTTAAAAGCATTTTTTAATTTCCATTCTGATTCTTTTTGGACTCATGGGTTATTTAGAAATGTACTTATTAATTTCCAAATATATGGGAAGTTTTTGTTTTTGTTTTTGTTATTTTCTACCTTAATAGCATTATGGTCATAAAACATATTCTGTATAATTTATAATTTATTATTCTCTCCTTTAAAATGTGTTGCAGTTTATCCCATGGCCCAATATATGGTCAGATTTTGAATATGTTCTGCGATTTCAGCAGTTGTTGCAAGCAGTATAGGTCCATTAAGTCAACTACATTAATTGCGTTTTTCACAATTTTCTCATCCTTACTGATCTTTTATCTGCTTTTCCATCAGGTACTAAAAGAGGTATGATAAAACTCCCACTCTGTGGATTTGTCTATGCCTCCTTGTAGTTTCGTCATTTGGGATCTATTTTTATTTTTCATTTTCTAATTTTTTATGTCATGTTACAGGTGCTTATAAATTTAGAATTTTTATCTCTTCTCAGGGAGACTTTTATCCTAGCAAAATGTTTCTCTTTATCTATAGTAAATGATTTTTTTTTTGCCTTAAAGTCTATTTTGTCTGATATCAATATGGCGACAAAGCTTTCTTTTGGTAAGTGATTGCAACTGTTCACTTTATACCTCTCTCTGTCTCTCTCTCTCTCTCCCCCCTCCCCGAAAAAAAAATTTTTTTTCCTTGCTTGCATCTAAATTCTAAACACAAGTTCTCATTTATAGAAGTTGGAGTTATAAAGGGAACTTCAGAGCATTCTTATTAAGAACTGGATTCTGCTTACATGCTCTAAGTCGTTTTCGAATCAGAGACCTAACTCACACATTCTAAGAATGAAGTGAAACCAGCCCCGGTGCGGAGGCCAGACTCCGGGTTAGGAGCGAGGGTCCTGGACAGACCCAGAGTATGGAACCTTTCCCACTGCTGAGCCACGGTGACCGAAATCCCGTCCTCATAAGCTCGGTCCCAGCAGTCACCAGTGAGCGCGGACACACTCCTTGCAAGACGCTGGAGTTCAACTTCACCAAGAGTTGAAAGTGACGCAGAAGGGAAGGCGGCCCCGGGGAAGCCGTGAGGCAGAAGGGGGGATCGCCCACCTCGGCCTCCAGGGAGACGCAGCGGCCCGCAGCCTGGAGCCCAGGGCACGGTCCCCGCGGCTACCCCAGCGGCCAGCAAGGCTGGAAGGGCGCTCGGCTCAGCCAAGGCTTGTTGCACCCCGACGCGCACGGTCCCGACCTCGGGCTCCGCAGTGACTAGAGCGCCCCTTCCCAGGTGGCTCCTGCTCCTCTCGAGGGCCGACCTCAGCCCGGCCTTCTCTGGCGTCCGCATTCCTGCGCACAGAAGCATCGGCGTCCCCCGCCTGTAGCTCTCCCCGCCGCCCCCGCCCCGACCTGAGCCACCGGGTGCAGCCGGCTGGGAGCCGGGGGAAGGAGCGCGGAGACGCGGCGCGAGCGGCAACGGCGAGAAGGCCCCGACGTACCTGGGAAACCCGCGAGCAGCCGCCTCGCCGCGGCCTCTTGCTGCCTCCAAGCCGCCCACAGGAGAACGGGAAGTGTGAGTGACGGGAAAGTCCGCATGGCGGGGCCACCCTCCCTCCGGAGTGTGGAAACCGTCCCTTCCCCAGAGCACGTGCCGCCGCTCAGGGGCAGGTTCCGCGGGGCCTGCGTCTGCGCCCGCGGCCTTGGCCCTCCGCCTGCTGCGCCCACCCCGCCCCAGGCTCTGCTTGGTGACCACGACGGAGGCTGTGGCCGTCTGAAGGCGGGTCTTGCCGCGAAAGCTGCCCCGCAGGGCCAGTTCAGAGGAGGGGGTTGGGGGCTTGATGGAGGTTGCAGGGCAGAGGAAAGAGGACGGAGACCCTAGAGGGGCCTCACTCCGCCCCCTACGCCCCTCCCGGGATTTTCCAAAGCAGGGAGGTGGATTTGGAAACGGAAGAGAAGGCTAAGTGGCCAACTAGAGAGATATCATCTCACCCCAATTAGAATGGCTTTCATCAAAAAGACGGGGATAACACATGCTAGCGAGGACATAGAGAAAGTGGAACTCCGAGACACTGGTATGGAAAACAGTATGGAATTTCCTTAATAAACTAAAAATAGGCTGGGCACAGTGGCTCATGCCTGAAATCCCAGCACTTTGGGAGACCAAGGCAGGAGGATCACTTAAGGCCAAAAGTTCAAGACCAGCGTGGGCAACACAGCAACATAACGAGACCCCATCTCTACAAAAAATAGAAAAGTTAGTCAGGTGTGGTGGCACAAGCCTGTAGTCCCAGCTTCTTGGGAGGCTGAGGCAGGAGGATCACTTGAGCCCAGGAGTTTAATGCTACAGTGAGGTATGATCAGGCCACTGAACTCCAGCCTGGGCAACAGAGCGAGACCCTGTCTCATAAAAAACAAAACAAACAAAAAAACAATGAAAAAATAGAACTACCATGTGATCCAGCAATTTCACTACTAAGTATATAGCCAAAAGGGAGGAAATCAACCTATCAGTATATTGAAGACACATCTGCACTGCCTGTTTAGTGTAGCACTATTTGCAATAGCCAAAATATAGAATCAATCTTAGTGTCCCTCAACAAATGAATGGATAAAGAAAATGTGATATATATATATACAATGAAATAATATTCAGCCATAAAAAAGAATGAAATCCTGTCATTTGCAGCAACATGGATAGAACTGGAGGTCATTACATGAAGTGAAATAAGCCAGGCACAGAAAGACAAGTATCACATTTTCTCCTCACTCATATGTGAGAGCTAAAAAAGTGGATCTCGGCCGGGTGCGGTGGCTCACGCCTGTAATCCTAGCACTCTGGGAGGCCGAAGCGGGTGGATCACTCAAGGTCAGGAGTTTGAAACCAGCTTGAGCAACAGTGAGACCCAATCTCTACTAAAAATAGAAAGAAATTATCTGGACAACTAAAAATATATATATAGAAAAAATTAGTCGGGCATGGTGGCGCATGCCTGTAGTCCCAGCTACTCGGGAGGCTGAGGCAGGAGGATCGCTTGAGCCCAGGAGTTTGAGGTTGCTGTGAGTTAGGCTGATGCCATGGCACTCACTCCAGCCAGGGCAACAGAGTGAGACTCTGTCTCAAAAAATAAAAATAAATAAATAAATAAATAAGTGGATCTCATGGAGGTAGAGAATAGAACGATGGTTCCCAGAGGCCGGGCTGCGGTGGGGATGAAGAGAGGTTGATTAATGGGTATAAATACACAGTTAGATAGAAGAAATAAGACCTGGTGTTCAATAGATCAGCACAGAGATTATAGTTAACATTAATCTATTGTACATTTCAAAATACCTATAAGAGAACAATTCAGATGTTCCTGGCATAAAGAAAAAATAAATATTTAAGAGGATGATGGATATCCCAATTACCCTGATGTGATTACATGAATGTATCAAACTATCACATGTACCCAGGAAATGTGTATATCTATTATGTATCAGTAAAAAATTTTTAAATCTTAAAAAAGTATACTTCATTTATACTCATGATTTTAATCTGAAAATTTTCTGTTCGTAGAAACAAGTATTGAACATTAATGTAATATATTGAAACATTTAAGAGAGCTTAAAGTTACCATACTTACGAGTTTATTAGTTATATAAGAATTATTTAAGAACCCAGGAAAATTTTAAGTTAGACAACTTAGATACTTAAAGAGGATATCAAATATATTACATCTATAAATGCAGTTGAAAATATTTCAAAGTTTAATTAGCTAAATTTGTAAATAGGACCAAATGTAAGCCACAGTACCTTTTAAAGTGATTGTTAAATTTTGATAGATTTATAACTAGCAAGTGGAACCTAAAAGCTTAAGGAAGGAGTGTGTCAATTTAGTAATTCAGATATGGAATCATAAAGGCAAAGCAAACTTGTGAATTAGCTCTTCTGCAGACAAAAATTTTCATGGATATTTTTAAAAAAGCCAACATTGACAAGATTAAATGTGAGTCCCTAAAGAAAAATTTGCTAAATCCTTCTTTCTCCCCTGTTAACTGCTCTTCCTCTTCTTCCCGTCCCTACCCCTTCCTCTGGCCTGACTCAGTGAGGGCCACGTCTGCCAGTCTGCTCCTGTGTGTCCTGCCAGTGTCCTCTCTGCCCTTCCTTCAACTCCGTGAGCTTTCAAGCACTGATACAGATATGACCATGTGTACATTATTTGCCATTTAACAGTTCTAGCCCACTTGGACTACTAAGAGATGATCTGCGCTAAACCAGAGTTTGTGTCATGAGATTAAATCTTCTTTTTCGTGGTGTTTCATGATGTTCCACAAGAGCATCAGATCGAGGAACCCCCTTTCTGATCAAGTGTGAAAATCACTGACTATTATTTCCCAATATTTTGTAAGAAAACCACTTCCTCCAAGGCTCTGGGCTCTTGCCATTGGACCACACCATCCTCATGTCCTCCTTACCTCTGTCACCACCTGCTCACCTCCCAGTTACTTCCTCTCACTTTTTCAAGACCCTGGCACCTGCTCATAGTCGTCTTGTTCCCAAGATCTTCCAGGAGCCCTGGCGGCTTCAGTGTTCCCAAACATGACCCACCTGACACCCTGGCCTCTCAGTTCCTTTATCTCCTCCTCTGCAGGGATCTTCTCCTCTATCCCACTTTATTACTCACAGTTGTCCAACCTTGGAAACGACTCATTCAAACCTCCTGCATCTTGATCAGAGTCCACTGACACCTCCTCTTTTCCCACTCCATTTGTCCCCTCCTTTCTTCCCAGGAAAACACTTGGTACCAGCTGGAGCTCACAGCAGAAGGGCCAGCAGATCTCTGGGTTTCCCGTTCTCTCTACATTGCATGGAGATCCATACCTGGCTCCCAAATTTCTAGCTGCACCAGCAAATGGGTCCTGCCCATTTTTATAGCGGGGGAAGAACAGGCTGGGTGAGGCTACCAGACAGTCTGCACATGAATGCCAGCCGCTCAGGGGTGCCGGGGGTGAACCTCTCCAGGGAAGTTCAGGTGGTGCTTTTGGAAGAGCTCTCAGACTTAAGAATCTTTCTAACACCTTTGCCAAAACCAGAGACTCTCTTTCCAGTGGTGCTGCCAAATACGAGGTTGGAGAAGAGGGTTTTACCTGATCCCAATCTCCATCGGTCTTCCCTGTTCTTTGACATGAACTGGTGTTTTCTCAATATAATTCATGTAAAATACCACAGAAAATGTTTCAAGCCCTCCTGTCCCCAAATCAAATTGCCACTTCTAAAGATCAACCAAATAAAAATTTGGAGGCACCACTATCCCTTTTCCTTATGTCCCTGTTTCTCCTGTGTGACAAAACCTCAAACCTGAAAGAACCCTACAGCCTCTTTCTCAGAGGAGACCAAGCACTTTATTACACTTCTCTTCACAATGCTATCTCAGCTTGCTCCATCCTCCTCCAGCCACTGGCAGCCGCTGCCTCCTCACGTCCCCTTCAGGGATGATCTTACCTCTTACTTCGCAGAGAAAATTAGAGCCATCCACAGAAATCCCTTCAACTTCCCACTCGTGAACTTCTACCCACACCCATCCTCTATCCTCCTGCAGAGGAGACCTCCAAGTGGGGTCAGTCCCCTTGTCCAATGTGGATGTTACCTAGATGCACTGCTCACCCTCCCGTCTCTCTCCTGTGTTCGACCACTCCGTCTCAACCAGATCATTCCCACCAGTATTTACGCATGCTCAAGTCTCTTGCAAATTTATTTTTAAAAACAAGCAGTAACAACAACAACAAAAACCTTTCAACTCCCTCAAGCGTCTCTCTTTCTCTCTCGCCTTTGTAGCCCAACTCCTCTAAAGAGTTCTCTATATTTACTGTCTCTGTCTCCCTTCCTCCTGCCCAGTCTCCACCCCATTCCGGTCTGGCTTCCACCTCATCACTCCATCCAAACAGCACTCGCAAAGGTCCCCCAGGACCACTGTGCTGCTGACTCTCCCAGACATTGTTTAGTCCCCATGCTGCTTCACCTCTCAGAGCAGGTATCACTGCTGGCCACTCCTTCCTTCTTAGTCACCCTCTCCCTCTGTGTGCATGACCACACATACTTAGTTTTCCTTTTCAAATCTCCTTTTCGAGAGTATCCTTCCCTACCTCATTTCCAAAGTCTAGGTCCTAAGCCACTTCTCGCTGGTTGCTTTCTTCTAAAGGAATCTCATCTATGCCCATCTATAAGCCAATAACTTTCCAATGGAAGTCTCTTGCCCGGACATCTCATCTGAACTCCAGACATAAATAGGCAACTGCCTACTTGAGATACTTGTCCACTTGGGTGTCTCAGAACATGTCCCCTCAACATGTCCCAATCTGAGCTCATGATATTTCTTGCCAAGGCTGGTCCTCTTCTGGTGTTCTTTATTTTAACATGGGGTCTCATTATCCATTCAGATGTATCTGCTTCAGCACTTTGTCCTGATTTTACCTTGAATCCATCCAACTCTTTTTATTCCCACTACCATCATGCCAGTTCAAGCTTCACCTCTTACCTGGAGCA